TCATATGTGGCCCTTTTTATATGGAGACATTTCCTTCTGTGCTCACTTTGTTAAGAGTTTTTTTTTTTTAATTAATTTTTAAAAAAAGATTTTTATTTATTTATTTGACAGAGATCACAAGCAGGCAGAGAGGCAGGCAGAGAGACAGGGTGGGGAAGCAGGCTCCCTGCTAAGCAAAGAGCCCAATGATGCGGGGCTCAATCCCAGGACCCTGAGATCATGATCCAAGCCAAAGGCAGAGACTTTAACCCACTGAGCCACGCAGGCACTCCAAGTTTTTTTTTTTTTTTTAATCATAAATTAATGTTGAATTTTGTCAATCTCTGCATCTCTTGAAATGATAATTTTACCTTTTGTCAATGTGGTATATCATATTCATTTATTCGTAGATGTTGAATTATCCTTGCATCCCAGAATATATCCCATTTGATCATGACTTATGATTCTTTTAACATATTGTTGAATTCAGTTTTCTAATAATTTGTCGAGAATTTTTGGATCTGTGTTCATCCAGAATATTGATGGTGTCTTTGGTTTTGGTATCAAGATAATGCTGGCCTCATAAAACGAGTTTGGAAGTGCTCCCCCCCTCTTCAATTTTTTATGGAACAACTTGGAGAAGGATAGGTACTAACTCTTCTTTCAATGTTTGGTGGAATTCACCTGTGAAATTGTCTGGTCCCGTACTTTTATTTTTTTATAGACTTTTAAAATTACTGTTTCAACTTCATTACTTGTAATTGGTCTATTTAGATTTTCTATTTCTTCATGATTCAGTCTTACAAGGTTATGCATTTCTATGAATTTATCAATTTCTTCTACGTTTTCCAATTTGTTGGTATATATTGGTCTAGTAATCTCTAAGAAAACTATTTCCTTTTCTTATCTTACTGCATTAAGACTCCCAGTAAGATGGTCAAATGCATATATGTGTACTTTTTGTATTTTGTATTCTCTGAGTTCTGTCACTCCTCTTCAAATCTTTTCTTCAGTTACCTTATTTCTGAGGTTTTTGTTTGTTTGTTTTATGTTGTTCGATCTTCTATCATTTAAAAAAATCTTTTGGTTTGAAATATTGGATTATAGTTTTCATATGCTTTTTTCTCCATTTCATATTTTATTATAACAACTTGAAAAGGATTTAACTGTAATCCTTTTTGTGGTATATTTTTAAGCTAAATAAGTTATCCTTTACCTTTAAGAGGAAGGGATGGGTGTAATAGATTTCTAGCCTCATGGTTTTAAAGCTTCCTTTTCTCATGTTTTCATACAATGACACCTATGTATCCTTGTCATTTCTGAGCTCTGTCTCTTCTCTCCCACTTTGATTTGGACCTGAGTTCTTCTTTGCCTCTGTTGTCCCATTCCTGTTCAATTTGGATTATATTCCCAGAAGTTTCTTCTTAGTATTGGGCTTTGTTCAACAGGGGAGCTCAGGTTTGTTAAGTTTTATGAGTTCATAAACTTCATATCTCTCCATCATTTTCAGACCTTCCTGCTCCTCCCTTTCTACTCACCCTGAGATTACAGACAGCCCGTTTTGCTCTTGATCTCATATTGGTCTCCCTTGCTTTTCAGTAAATACTTGTGAGCAGTTTGGGGGGCCTTCCATTCTCATGGCCTTCAGATGCTCTGTTGTCATCCTGCTGTTTCTTCCTACCCAGAAACTGATATTAAGTTGACAGTTTGTTCCCACCTGTTCATATTATGAGCTTTATGAGGCTTCTTTTTCACTTAGTTATGTTATAGTCATGGTCTATATTTGTTATTGTTATTGTTTTGCTATCCAAGATGTTCAACCTGTTTTTAAAAAGAGATTCAGACTACAATGCCTCCATAGTTATCTTCACAGAGCTTCAATATTCATGTATTAATTGGAGAAGGGGTACGTTATATCTTTTCAAGTTTTAAACTTTTCCTATATTTCTGAAATCAATCAAAATACAAGTTGAAATGATTATAATATATTATTCTGCCTTTTAGATAACTCCAACTAATTTAAAAATTAATTTGTTTTGCTTTCTTAGCCTGAAATTAATGTACTCACAGGATTAATCTATTCCCATACCTCCCCACTTCCAACTTGCTGAAGGACACTCTTAGACTTAATGAAATAACACAACTAGGCTTAAAATAATGCAATTTGTGATGACTGCCCAATGTTCTCAGGCCAAACATTTGGAGGAGCTCATAATTGTATTTATTACCATTTTGTTGTTGTTGTCATCGTTGTTGTTGTTACAAATTTCTGGTTCTATCTGAGCCCCTTTCTCACCCTACAAACTACAGTCCAACTTAACAAACTGGCTGCTAATTATCTGACTGTGGTCCACATGTTTTGTTTAGTCTGCTCACTATTTTAAAAATGAACAAAATAGTTGCCAACACTTAAAAACCAGATTTCACATAAAAATCCAGTTTCCTGGCTTCTCTTTAAAAATTGAGATCTGAGGGGTGCCTGGGTGGCTCAGTGGGTTAAAGCTGCTGCCTTCGGCTCGGGTCATGGTCCCAGGGTCCTGGGATCGAGCCCCGCATCAGGCTCTCTGCTCAGCAGGGAGCCTGCTTCCTCCTCTCTCTGCCTGCCTCTGTGCCTACTTGTGATCTCTGTCAAATAAATAAATAAAATCTTTAAAAAAAAATTGAGATCTGGTGTAATGAAGCCCATATTCCTACTTGGAATCTGTGCCCTGACTAAACAGAGAATGGCTTCTCAGGTTTGTACTTTTCTCCCAGATAGTTTCTCTCATTGTTATCTTCTAGTCCTCATAGACATTATAGGTTTGCAACCCATGAACTTGAATCTCTTTCATTTCAAACTCTTATTTTGGCTTAAACCACTAAATATTTGCTAATGATTTCTAAATCTGTTTCTACTTAGAAATCCCACATACTCCCCAGAACCCACATATTCAATATCAAACTATTTTTTTCAAAACCTAATTTTCTTCCACTATTCCCTAAATGACCCAGTTAACATAATTGCATTCCTATAGTTGTCCAAATTAAAAAACCCTTAGGGTTATTCTTTCCTCCTTTTTCTTCATCCTATCCACAGCTTTTCAATCATGTGCCAAATTTTGACAGGTCTTTGCTTTTATAGCTCCCAATATTTGAATACCTTTTTCTTCTTTATACCTGGAAAACCACTTACTTTCCAACATGGAGCAAAATTATTCAATTTCTAAAACTGTATTTCCTGTCTCCAAGAGCATTTAGTTGCTCCTTTTCATGTATAGGTATCTCAAGTACATTGTATGTTGTGTGGGTATTTATTTACTGCTGGCTTGCCACTAGTCTATGGATTCCTTAAAAGGACACAGATTATGATCTAGTTATCTTTGTATGAACAGTACTAAGACAAAAACATGAACTCAATAAACACATGAATTTTACAAATCAATGAAGATTATTTCATATCATGAATTTACTTTCCTATACTTTCTATATTATGCTTCAATTTCTGATTAAATCCCCCCCCTTTTTTTGCTGGCACTTTTTTGGTGCTTGATAGTAGAATCATTGATAGTAGAATCACTTAAATATTTGCACCACATGGCTATATCAAAAGAAAACTTATTGACTCTGCCATGAAAATATGAAGGTTTTTAAGGTAACTTTAAAAAATCCTGCTTTAAATACATAAGGATGCCAAATAGTAACACTGAAAAAATATATTATTACTCATAAACAGAATCCTGAGAGGCACTGAACAGCTGTTGAGAAACTTGGCACGTCATTATGCCAGGCTGAGTTTAATGACCTACATGTGAAGAGCTACATATCCAATTACTAATCCTCACTCAGCTACTCTTTGCCCTGATATAGAGGTAGCTGGAAAAGAGATGCCCTACTAACATCAGAAATGGATCCAGAGTTTGTTGTCAATGTTCAGTTAAGAGATCTTTTAGATTTAAGATGAGGAAGAAACAGGGAGTAACCCACAACAGTCTTATAGCTGACCTAGTTTTTCAAGTAAAATTTGAGGGTTTAAAACAAGAATGCTTTCAGTTTTGTGATTAGAGAACTCAAATTTTGAATTTAATTTCTATTCATTAAAGCCTTTAAACATGTTCAATATGTTTTCTTCAAGTATCAATAATTTACTTCATAATTCTTCCCATACCAGTATGGCAGTCTTCTAGTCATCCATTCAAATCTCATTCTTATCTTCAAATTCTGCAATAATCACCAATAGAAGAAGGCTAAAAGAAAAGCTAAAAATGACAGTCTACTAGATTATGTTTCAGTTCTCCCTCAAGTTGACTTGGTCTATATATAGCAAAAAGATCACATAAGGTCGTGTATTATGAACAATGAAACGTCACATGATGTTTTGCAAAACTGTAAGAAAATTAGTTCAAGGAATGAATGGAGAGTTAAGACTTAGGGTATAATGAAGAAAAAAATTTAGACATTCTAGATTTAAATGCATCTTATTGGGAATTTGACTCACTCTTCCAATTTGATTTTCCATTTGAGTTGTGTGAAATCATGTGATACTGACAACCTTCTTCCGTATACATCATAGTTCAGGCATAGCTATGCTTTCCTTCCAACTCCAGTAGAGAATTAAAGAGCTCTCCATCACTGTTTCGCATTTAAAATTTATAAAAGTAGTTATGCCTTACACCCCTCCTCTATCCCCATAGGAATATATAAATGAATACATGCCTGCAAGCATACACTTGCTTTGAGGTGCAAAAGCAGATGTCATTGTAACTACCGCCCCTCCAAAAACCCTCACTCCAGACCCCGCCCAACATGAACTCCCTCCCCTTTCTGCAGGTCCAAGTGTGGCGCAGTTTGATGACGTAAAGGCGTACGCGCCATAGCCTCCTACGCGTAGCAGCCGTCCCTGCCTCTGGGAGTTGAAGTTTCCTAAGGAAGACTCGTGAGCTCTATGAAGACCACCACGAGAAGGCTCTGTGTTGGTGTTCTCAGTTCCCTGACAACTCCTCGGCTCCGTAAGTCTCTTGGTACTGCCTCTGGCGCCTGCCTACTCTCTGGTCTTCTTTGGGCGCAAAAGGGGCTCTTGGCGATGCCATTCTCGACTAGCAACACGGCTTCCGGGGGAGAGGGGAGTGGGGCTGTAGAAATGGAGCCGCGACCTCGTTTCCGAAGGAAGTGATGTCAGATAGAGCGCGTCCCCAGAGCCACGCAGCTCCCTGATTCGCTGGCTGTAGTTTAATCCCTCCTCGAGTGCGTCCGCCGACGGGTGCCCTGGAGGGGAGTGTTGGGCGAGGCTCTGCCCACCCGCTGTGGGAGTGCCTACGGTCGGCGTTTGTGTGGGGGTCGGGATCCGGTCCCTAGTGTATGAAGAGAGTGAGTTTCCAAATAATGAAGGGAGAGGGAAATCTCGACCCCGAAAGGCTGGAAAAGTGACCTTCTGCCACTTGGTGCCTAGAGACCGCGAGCTGTCGCTTTACCTCTTTAAACCCGCCTTACCTCGTTTCTCCCAGCGAGGGGCTGACGTAGCTGAACGCTCTGAAATGCCGAGAGCCCAAGGGAAAGTTGCTTCACGTGCTGTTAGCCCCATGGTGGTGAGCCGAGGATGGTTTTTAAGAAGACAGGCGTTACTTGATTTCAGCGAACTATTTTAAGTGTTAAAATTCGGGAATTTTTTCTAAAAATATAAAGAGGATAGCAACAGATGACTTTTATCCCTTTTTGTTTTGGTGGTTTTAATTCCTTCCCCTCTCCCTATACCAGCCCAGCTAAATCATGCGCTTTCGATACTGCAGATCTGGCCGGCGCCTTTTAAGAAAGGTTTTCTTTCCCTCTCACTTTTCTTAAATGACCTGTCATTGTCAGGTCATTCAACTCCATTTTGCAGTTATTCCAACATTCGTTTGGGTCTTTCAGGAGGGGAGGTTGTCATAAGTTATGAAGACTGTTTATTTAGCCCAATCGAAACATTTTTTTTTTTTTTTTTTTTACTTTTGACTGATGTATGTCTGTGTTCCCTGCTGGAAGCTGTGCTGAGAACTGGAAATACAAGGAAGATTGAGATGACTTTTACTTACTTGTTTGTTTATTTTACTTATTTGTCTCGCACCAAACGGCCTTAGTCACCTTTATCCAGTTCTTGGTGTTATCAGACCATCTGATAACCTAATTCTGTAACTAAGCGAACCAACTTTGTAAAAATTCTCTGTTAAAGCAAACTAAATTTCACACAGATGTTTCTATACAAAATACTCTTAAATATTTGTTGAACGTGGTTGAATAAATGAAAATATACTGTGTCACAGCATGGGAGGGAGGAACGCGAAACTGCTATGGAGCTTATAAACTGGCACAAACTTTAAAAAGCAAGTAAACCTAGTAAAAAATGCCACATTTTGCTTCAGGTCATCTGAACAAGCTAGTATATGGTGAAATACTTATTGTATGGAATCGGAAGTGAGAGTTGATACTTATCTTTGAAGAATGTGATGTAAGCAGTGATATATTGGGTCTCAAGCCAGCATCATTTTTATTTTGTGCCTCAATGTATCTAGCTTATCAAAGCTTAAAAAAATTCACTCGCTGCAATGTATTTTCTTAATTCAGAATAGCTTTAAAAATAATGAAAATGTTAACCAGCTCATGACCTTTAGGCCAAGTTAAATTTAATTTAGAGTACTCAGGTAGGAAAGACAAAAGCTCCCCCTGGTGTACATGATCTGTAAAACATAGCTATATATTGCTTTTTTTTTTTTTTTTTTTTTTTAATTTTCACATTACAGAGCCAATCAACACTTTAAGTTTTTTAACAGAATAAAGAACTAGCAAAACACGATGCCGCTGATGAACAGAAATGTTCTCTTTTGGAATATGAGTCATTATTTTATGAAGGGATCAATTTGTTTCCTGTGAATTTTAAGTTTGCGTATTTAGCTTAGTGGAGCGGGTTTAACTTGTTTTCTCTACCTTGTACCGTTTTGCATACATGCATTGCTTTTATTTAATGGACTATGTATATAAAGGAAGTAAAATAAAAGTGATTCTGGGAATCAATATATATTTTAAAATTTTCTTTCTTATAATTTTTTCAGGCTTGCTGATGTTCCGCATCTCCTGTTTCTTAAGTTGAATGCTTATTTATTTTCCAGCTTTTTAAAAACACTCTTTAATGAGTGAACTCAAGGTTGTACATTGATCTCCAGTTTACCTTTTTGCTTGTATCTCTCTCATCCTGCTATTAAGTCTTTCATGTCATTTTGTTTCTCTGAATTCTGAGATTGTCAGGATGTCTTCTAATTCATCCATTACCTCTTGGGCTCCAGGTAATCTGGAGTTTGTCTTACATCTTGAAATGTTTATGTCTTTATTTACTGGTTTCCAAGTAGGCTCTTTTCCATAGATTCTTCTTTTGCTTATTTTATGCCTGCTTTTGTGTCCCAATTTCTGGTTTTGTTTTTATCGTTCTATTGCTATGAGCTCTGAAAGATTCCAACCAAATTTATTTTAAGTCTTTCACATTGTTCTCTTATTTTCAGTTTGTGAAGAGTGGTTTTATCTCCTGATCATTGATTTTCCTGGGGTTTTCCCATCATTTCTTTGTGTAACTTTGCTTTGCATAGTCCTCTTATAGAATTATCACTACCCACCCCTCAAAACCATCTTTCTATGTGCTGCTGAATTTGTGGTTGCTCCTATCCTGGCCCTGTTAAATGCTTCCTTCCACGCACAGCTTGCAAAGGTGATTCAGAGTTCTAATTCTATAGTGTTCTAAGTTCATATGTCATCTCGTCGTTTGTCTCCGGTATATTATAGCTGAGAACTAGACACGGCTTCCTTCAGGTTTCCCCAGGTAACCAGTGTGGTATAAGCCTTTAGTCTAAATTTCATCTGTTTTCAGGCTTTTTTTCATGGAAAAAGGAGCCCCATCCCCAACACTAGTTTAAGGTTCATCTTAAACCCTCTTCTAGGGGCACCAGGCACTCAGTTGATTAGACTCTTGGTTTTGGTTCCTGTCATTGATCTCAGGGTTGTGAGATTAAGCCCTTGCTCCGTAGGGAACCTGCTTCTCTCTTTCTCCCTGACCCTCTCCCTGCCCGGCCCCCACCAGTGCATGTGTTCTCTCTCTCTTTCTTTCTCTCTCTCTCTAAAATAAGTAAATAAATCTTTCAATAATAATTTTAAAAAGTGCTATTCTCTCTCCCATCCTCTTTAAAGCTAGGAGAACTCCCAGTTGCCTCTACATTGCAGACCCAGCAGGAACAACATCTATTTTAGTTCTTGGTTTTGAGAGAAGCTATACCTTTTTTGTTTCCCCTTGTATTTTATCTACTGTTGTCACGTATTTCAAGATTGAGAGACAGGATGCCTCAAAACATGAACTTTTGGCAATTATCTCTAGGAATAGTCTGTCCCATTTTTGTATTCAGTTGCATAGGAATTGAACTGGAGCTATTTTTTTCTCCTCTTTCAGTGACACAGTGTTCTCAGAGCCTTCCAGCAGTAGGGGTGAAGCCGCACAGCTCTTTTATATTCTTTGGAAACCCTCATTTTCTAAATAAGATTTTGGATTTCTGGGAGAGAGTAGAGTTGAATCTGGGTTTGAATCTTAGCTCCATCATTTCATTTGTCTATTCATTCAGCAAGTATTTAGAGGACTTTGTCCTAGATTTGTTCTAGATGCCTTGTTTCTTAGGAATTAATTAGTACTTTTGTAATTTGAGGCAAGTTATTTTTTATCTCACAGTGCCTTCTTTGTAAAATACACATGATGCTCTCTACCTCATAGGGTTGTTGTAAGGATTAATTTAGACAATATTATTTAGCATAGTAAGAATTAACAAGTTCATTATAACCACTTTCATTACTTTTTAAAACTTTTACAATATATTCACTCATTTGTTTATTCTGAAAATATATAGTAAGCATCTACTAACTGCCAGGCACTCTGTTAGTAATGTAATGTGGTGATAAATGTTAGGCAAAAGCAGACCTCATCCAGGCCCACAGGCATTTTCCAGTATAAAATCAAATTTGGGTTGTCATTTCTAAGAGATATTTACCCCCAGACTAAGGGTACTGTTTGGTTGGTGGCATAAGGAAAACTTGTGAACTCCTCCTTGGATTATCAGATGGTTCTTTCCCCTTCAGTAATTTGTGATTTAGCAAAACGCCAGGGTTTTTGCTGTAGCCCCTAATACACACATCTTAAAATTCATCTTTCAGTCAAAGTCTGGTAACCTTTGTGTTTTCTTAGTTATCCCCATGTGTCCTGTTATAACATTACATTTTTAAAGAAAGCGAGAACCCTAATAAAACTGCGTAAATTATCTTCTGCAAGGTTTTGTCCTTTCCATTATCTGAATTGTTGGGATTTTTCTCTTAGATTCTAGCTTCTCTGCACGGACTTGTTAGCCATCTCTTTAAGAAGGAAGAATCATGGAGTTTTCTCCAACAGAACATTTGCAAATCATGCTTAGTCTTTGCTAGGGATAAATAAATTTTTAAGTTGTAGTGCTAGTAATCTATTAAAGAGAAAAGACATCTTAGTATTTTTAGCTCTTTCCTAATCTGAAGGTAAATTCAGTTCTGGACTACAGATATGAAGATGTGGGTGGTTAATCCAATTAAATATGTTTGAGATGGTCTTGCACCTCCCATGACTGATTATAAGATCAGCTTATATATTTTGTTTTATAGCCAAGACTAAGGTGGATATTTATAATTATGTATTTACAATGAAATATACTGAAAGGCAACCAAATTTGTTTTCTTCACTGTCCAAAATATATAAATCTATAGCATATCTTTTGTTAAAAATCATTTCTGAGTGTACACCCAGATAATGAAAATAACCTTTCCCTTGTACTGTAGCATTAATGACAGGTTCTTCCCATCACTTTTTTTAAAGTATTTTTTCTTTCATAAAGCAATATATTTTCATTATATAAAATACAGAAAATGCAAAAAAGTGGGTAAAAATTAAACATGATTATGTGTACATATTCTTTTTAAAACCAGGTTGGACATAATGTTTATACTGTTTTTGGTTTTTATTTTTTTTCTATTTAGCATAACCATTTCCTTTTATCACTGAATAATTTTGGGAAACAAGATTTTTACTGGGTGGTTAGTATTCCCAGCCCATGTTATAGATGAACTGTAATTTATTTACAGACCCCTCTTGCTGACATTCAAGTAATTTCTAATTTTTCATTGTTAAAAATTATACTCTGGTACATATACTCTTTTGCATTAATTTTGTGTATATATCTAATCCATTTACAGGATTTTATTCTAAGGAAATAAATTACTGGGTCAAAGGGTATCGAGACATTTTAAAGCTCTTGAAACACAGATCTGCTTAACTTTCTGGAAAAATTGCTGTGACTGCTAATAGTATATGCAAACACCCATTTCATCAAATGGTCTTTGCCAGTAAATGACATTTAATTGTCTAAATTTATATTTTTTTCATTATTGATAGGATTTAATTTTAATTACATCTTTTGGTCTTTTTTTTTTTTTAACTTTCCGTGTGTGTGTGTGTGTGTGTGTGTGTGTGTGAGAGAGAGAGAGAGAGAGAGAGAGACTTACCTGTTCCCATCGAAAGTTGCTTTTCAATTTTTTCAGAGGCATCAAATAATGTCTTCTGAAATGTTGCCAGCATTTACTGAGTCTTCTAATGTTGAAAGAAAGCAAAGCTTAAGTGAAGATCAAGAGAAGAGCCAAAAGCCAAGATTAGGGGAAGAGTTTGAACCAATATCTAAAAGACAAATGAAGAAGCTAATTAAACAGAAACAATGGGAAGAACAAAGAGAACTCCGCAAGTATGTTTCAAAATGTATATATATGCTTCACCATTTGGGAGTGCTGAACTTTGCATAGCCTTTTGACACATCAAAAGTAACTGTGATAATTAAAATTGGGGCTATGTATGTTGTTAGCACTGTCAATTGGCTGTTAAAACTGTATTTGTTTCCATCTTGGTAGATTTACAGTACACTTTTTGTCACGCAGAGCCTATTGTGAGTAGCAGCACAGTTTCTGAAATAACTGACTTAGATAAGGGATATAGTTAGCATCCGTGTCCTAGATATAGAACAAAAATAACCACCTCAGAAAGATCAAATTTGGTCCTAAGATTGATTTTGCTAGAAAAACCATTGTAGGTTTTGGTGAGAGCAGTTAAGCTGAAGCTGTTATTATATAATGCCAACATTTATTGGGAGAAAATAAACTATAGTTGGTGTAGATTATAGGAAAAGTATGAAGTGTTTTTTAAAAAAAAACACTCTTACTTTGCTTTATTCTATATTAATGTTGTTTGAAAATCATGTAGGAGAAGAATGATAAAAGTAAAAATTCATCCTTAAGTCCAAAATTCAGTATTTTACAAAGTCTTAGTATAGTGTAATACTAATGATAAATGAAATGAGTAGTGAGGGTCTGTGTAGAAAGTATTTTATTGCTTTTGCAAAATAATATTCTTTCTATCTAAAGCTTTTTGGTGGACGATACAAAATCGCTGACATTTGATCCACAGAAGTAGCAGTTTTATATGGTTCAGCCTGCTAATTTAAAAAAAATTATTGGCTTTTTTTGTCTATTTAGAAGAGTCTTGTAAATATCCGAATGTGTAAATAACAACAAAAAGTTTCAATTCCTAATTTTAGACAGAAGCGGAAGGAAAAACGCAAGAGAAAACAATTAGAGCGACAATGTCAACCAGAATCAAACGTAGATGGAAATGACAGAAAACGCATTCGAAGAGATGTTGTCCACAGTACACTCCGCCTTATCATTGACTGCAGTTTTGACAGCTTGATGGTATTAAAGGTATCATGAATCATTGTCAGAAAAATCCTGTAGGTAAAGTAGGTTGAGGGGCACTTGGGTGGCTCATTCGGTTAAGTGTCTGCCATTGGCCCAGGTTATGATCCCAGGATCCTGGGGGGAGACCAGAACCCACTTCTTCCTCTCCCTCTGCCACTCCCCCTGCTTGTGCTCTCTCACTCTCTCTCTCAAATAAATAAATAAAGTCTTAAAAAAAAAAGGTAGGTTGAATAATTCTTATTTTAATAGGTAATATCACTTTAATATAAACTTATGTATTAAAATGTATCTTAAATAAAGTTTTTCAAGATCATGCCCCCTAAGTTAAACTAGCTAATAAATTGCTCTTTCTTATATGCATAGAAGAGAGAGACAGACACTGTTATTAGATTATAAGACTCAGTAACTGTATATTAATCATAAAGATCCAGGAGTGTTTTTGTTATTTGTCCTAATCAGAAGAAGAAAGTAAGAAATGTGATTGGTTTAATAGAATTATTTCTAAAGTAAGAAATGTGATTGGTTTAATAGAATTATTTCTTATTTAGTAATTTGAGAAAACTGGCTATCTGAAAAATGTTAGCAAAGAAAACATGCTTTACTTACTTTCCAAACCGTTAGTAAGTTATGAAAATAGCAGTAGAATGGCTCTACGAGAGTTTTTCTTCTTTTGTTGTCTTTTATTTATTTATTTATTTATTTTTTAAAGATTTTATTTATTTATTTGACAGAGAGAAAGCACAAGTAGGCAGAGAGGCAGGCAGAGGGAGAGAGAGAGAAGCAGGCTTCTGGCTGAGCAGGGAGTCCAATGTGGGGCTCGATCCCAGGACCCTGGGATCATGACCTGAGCCAAAGGCAGACTCATAATGACTGAGCCACCCAGGTGCCCCCGTTTGTTGTCTTTTAAGAAGGGTAAATACTTTCATGAATTAGCATTTTAAGTGGATACAAAATTGAGTTACTGATCAGGGTATTGACTTGACTTATAGTAATTATTATATCAGTATGTACAGAAGTTGAATGGAAAATGTCACAAAGGACCTGTATTTCCAGAGGAAAAAATGTACCTGTCTAGTCCCTCTCTTTTGCTTATTTTATTCTACTAAGATTATGGAATGGCCATAGGTGATTTTCAAAGTGCTGCTTTAAAAATCGCACTCTTTTATAGGACATTAAGAAACTTCATAAACAGATTCAGCGATGTTACGCCGAAAATCGGCGAGCACTCCATCCTGTGCAGGTATGTTTGGGGAATTTAAAACAGATTCCAGTTTCCTTTTATAACTTCCTCTGGAAAAGGCATAGATAATCCCAGTTGCCTATACAAGAATCTTACAGATGCTTTTCCTTAAAGAACAAAATGCCTATTTGAAAAATGTTCTAATTTGCTACAAAAATAAAGTATTTTCAACATTTATTCCTATGTCAGTCTTAGTCACATGCTGCACAGTCATTGTGTTTTGTACCCACTGACCTCATTCCTGTGTAGTTGAACATCTTTGCTAAAGGATATATATGTATTTTCATACCAGTTTCTCAGCTCTCAACTCTTTTCCTCACAGAAAGTGAGGGAACTTCCCCCAGCTTGATGTGTGCCATCGTACCTGTTGGTTAGGTTTCTTCTACCTAAAGGATTTTGAGTCTGTGGCCATTTGGAGAGGTATTCCCACTGTTAAGAGTAGATAGGGTCTTTTTTCTATTTGTTTGAATTCTAGGTGACCTAAAAATGAACACTGGCTCACTGATGTTAAGAACCAGAAATTCTTAATATATTTCTGGTTAGATATTTATTTTCTTTTTATCAAGTAATAGTATTTTTATATTTTTACATTTTATATTCTTCTCACCCCTGATTAGACTTGGAATAGGTGTCAGGGTTTAGAATCAAAGGAAAATGATGAAGACTTTGGACTGGTAAAAAACAGTGGTGGCAAAAGAAACTGAATGAAAACTTGACATAAATGTAGGGAGTTTGTAGAGAAGCGATTATTAAGGGAGAGTCAGATTGTAGCTGCTTGTAAAATGGGAGAAAAATGTGGAAGGAATACTCAAGGTAGTGGGTTATGAGATACACCAAACGTGTCCCTTTTATCATACATTTATTCTTGTATGTTTTAAAGCATGTCACAATTTTTTTTTCTAAAATGGCTATATTTTATGGTTCATTGATGATCAGATGATTTTAGAAGAAAAATAAAATACTGGACTCTGATAGTTATTTGCTCTTTCTTTCTGTGTCCATCAATCTCTTTTATCAGTTTTACTTGACAAGCCATGGAGGCCAATTGAAAAAGAACATGGATGAAAATGACAAAGGATGGGTCAACTGGAAGGTAATTAAAATAGATGAACTCTCACATAATTCCAAGTATTTTTATGCTTAAATTTTTTACTTAAATTCTACATAATGCCAATAAATACAGGAGTTGACAGTCTCTAAACCCTGTATATCACTATACCTAAATCTAATGTTACTAACGGTAGAAGCTAAAGAAACTGAAATGCCTATTCACATGTTCTCATTAAGTCTCACTTATTTTGCCACCAACTTCATCTTTTTATTTTTTTATTTCTTTTTTAATTTAAATTCTAGTTAGGTAACATATATATATATAACATATATCTAGTTAGGTAACATATATGGTGAAATTGGTTTCAGGTGTAGAATTTAGTGATTCATCACTTACATATAACACCCAGTGCTCCTCACAACAAGTGCAGTCCTTAATTCTCATCACCCATCTGGCCCATTCCCTGCCCACCCCTCCCTCCAGCAACCCTCACTTTCTTCTTTACTGCCAACTTTAAAACAATTTTTTAAAACAGGAAAAATTTTAAAGTCTGTGTGTATAATCTCTACCTAGCAAACTGGTAATACAATACCAGAGTGAGATCTCTTTAAAACTTGGAAATGTACTTATATTCTGTTTCTCCTAAATCTGTGCTATCCCATATGGTGACCACTATCCACCTGTGGATATTGAACTCTTGAAATGGGACTGGTCTGAATGGAGATGTGCTATAAATGTGAAATGTACATTGGATTTGAAAGACAGTACAAAAAAAAAAGAGAATGTACAATACCTGCTTGAAATTTTTTAAAAAATTTATTATATGTTGAAATGATAACATATTGGGTATAATGTGTTGGGAATAATATATTAAAATTAATTTCACCAATTTTTGCTTTTTTTAATGTGTCTACTGAAAGATTTAAAATTACATATGTGGCTCACATTTTTTTTTTCTATTGGACTGAACTGTTCTCATTTGCAAAGATGACGAATAGATTGGCTTTAGTATTAATCCCTGAGGAACCTTGCCCTATTCAGAGAAGTACTGGGTTAGTCCTATTTTTTTTTTTCTTTTTCTGTCTCAGAGCCAGTTTTTACATGATAAACTTTCCTTCTCACACTCACTAATCCCATAATACTGCTTTTTTTTTTTTTTTTTTTTTTGGAGAGGTGGGTGGGGAGGAAGAGAGAGGATCCTAAACTGGGACATGGGGCTTGATCTCATGACCTTGAGATCATGACCTGAGGTGAAATCAAGAGACACCTAAATGACTGAGCCACCCAGGCACTCCTGAATTTATTTTAATAATAGCCTATGGTGTGAAACATTTTCTTCAAAAGCTTTCCTAAGTTTTAAAGTACAATATATTTACCAAGTTTTATACCCATGCCTGTTTTCCTAAGAAATAATGTAATTTGTATAGGCATACTTTCAGTTATTTTCTGGCTTGTTAAATTTATTATTTATACCACCAGTTTTCCAGAGACTCACAAGTTAACTGGTCTTTACTCAGTCCTATTAAGCATGGCCATCAAATTAATAATACCATTTTCCAGAAAAGCGGCTATTTATTACCTAGTAGCTTATACATTTAAGGTGAAAAAGCTTCTTCATTTTTTATTTCTTTAAAAATTACTAAGTAAATGCAATCTGAGTCTGGTGATGCATTGTCTCTTATTCTATCAATGTAGTTTGCAAAATTTTGACTGCTGACTTTTGTTCAGTCTTGTACCTCTGACCTGATAATTTTGGTGAAGATTTCAAATGTGATCTTTATAGAAACAGATGTGTAGAATTTATTAAATCTGTAATCCTTTTGTGATGATACAGGCAGATGGATAGGAAGGGTTGGAAGAGGCATTCTTTGGTTAGAGAGAAGTTTGAGCCGATTGTGGCCAAAAAAATGCATTTGTTTTGTTGGAACAGAGCCAAAGTTAGAAAGCTACATTAGTGCCATATTCAAGAAAGAGTTACTAAGTACAAGGGTTTAACTTTCATCCTACAGGTAAAGATAAATCCTTGAAAGTAGGGTTTTTAGAAAGTGAGTCTGCCATTGGTATGTAGAGGTAAACTAGAGGGATCTGGGGCTAGAGACAGGGAAATAGCAATAGGAGACTACTAAATAATTGGGGTGTGAGGTGATGAGGAATTGAAGTAGTAGGTTCTCAATAATTGTAAAATATTGTTTCATACTTCCTTTCATATGCTGTTGGGTGGCTTTGCTTAAGGAAAAGAAAATAATCCTTTTTAGCCAATTTTTACAAAATCTTATTAATAACATCTTTCTACTTATGTCTTAAAGGATATCCACATCAAAGCAGAGCATTATAGTGAATTCATAAAGAAAGAAGACCTAATTTATCTAACATCAGACTCACCTAATGTACTGAAAGAATTAGATGAATCAAAGGCTTATGTGATTGGAGGGTTAGTAGATCACAACCATCACAAGGTACTATTAAGTTTTTATTTTTACTTTTGCTCATACTTTAAAATGGATATACCAATTTTCTTGATAGTATCAATAATACTGATAGCTGATCATTATTGAATGCCTACTATAATCCAGTCACCTTTCCAGCTAAGAAAGCATTTCACATATATTATTAGTTTGCTTAATCCTCCCTACAATACAGTGAGGTTAGTGTTGTTATTATCTATATTTTACAGATAAGGAACTGGAGGCACAGAGAAACTAAGTCTAAGCTCAATAGTAGTAGGTGATAAAGCAGATATTTGACACCAACAGATTGTTCCAGAGTCCACATGCTTAAATGATATGCTGTGTTGATAGTAGATGCTGCTGATGGTAAAATTTATACCAATTTATACCAAAATTAATGCCAAATGGTAAATTTATATGAGTTTTTAAGTATGTAATTTTCATGGGGTGTGTTTTCTTTTCTCTTGTATTTTGTACTTTTGTCTCTTCCCACCACCTCCTTACCCTCATTTGAATGAAAAATTATAGAAATTTACTTTCTAAAAGAAAATATTATTTTGTACTTGGCCAGCTACTTTGCAGTATGCTAAATTCAACCCAACTCAAGAAAAACATCTTTACCAGTTGTCTAGGGAAATGCTATCAGAATAATATGAAATAATTCATTATTCTTGTATAACATCACTCTGAGTTAGAATTGTCTGTAACGTTGGGATAGTTTATATCATCTTGTCCATTATAGCCATGTGCTGTTGAGCACATGTAATGTACATAGTTTGATTGAGAAACTAACCAATTTAAACTTAAGCAGTCACAATTGTGGCCGTAACTGGGGAGTGCAGCTCTGTAGCATCACAGGAAATTTTTATCAGAATGATCTTTAGCTTCTTAAAATTTTTTTCATAGTGGAAAAATTCTATTTTGTTGTTTGTGTAGAACCAAATTTTTTTCTCTAATGTTGTATGTTTTTCTGAACTACATTAAGTTTGTTTTCAAAAGCACCTGTCTCAGTTGATTATTTGTCCCTAAAATTTGCAAACTACTGGTTAAGAAATTTAACTCTTCTTTCTCCTGTACTTTGTCTTTTGGCTACTTCAGTTCTGTTTAGAACAGGCTTTCAGAATTTTAATTTTGAGGAGAAAATTTATATTTAACAATCTTTTAATTGGTAGGGAAAATAAAATTTATAGGCAATTTAAAATTTTTTTCAAATCAGGTTTTCATTTACTTTGTCTTTGCCATTTGTGCCTCTTACTGTTATGTAATTGAAACATAGTTTTATCTCTATATGTTTCTACATTTACGGGAAGAGTGATGATGCTTCTCTAGGAATTCAGTTTGAGTATTTTAAACTGAGAGGAAGGCAGTGTGGAATGGTGAAGAGCTATCTGAGTCAAAAGGCATGATGAGCCAGATTTTTCTTGTGGTTCTTCCGCTGAGGAGCTTTGTGTTGGGGTAGGAAACACTAAACTAGTCTTTGGTTTCCCCATTTGTAAAGCTGTTAAAGCAAATGCCCTAAACATTCTGACGATACTTTCTCTCGAAAGAACGCTTCCAGATTAGCAATTACACACACAAACACACACTTTGTCAGAAATGTTTTCTGAACTAAAGTTGTTTTTTATTCTGTTGTAGACTTTAAGTTAAAATAATCTAATGTTCTAGTCAAGTAATTGTATCTTTGTTTTAGGGACTCACTTATAAACAAGCATCAGATCATGGAATTGATCATGCACAGCTCCCCCTTGGAAATTTTGTGAAGATGAATAGTAGGAAAGTTTTGGCGATTAATCATGGTAAGCTATAAGTGCATTATGAAAATATGCTTGAGTGAACAGTGTGAAGAATAACATTACCTTTGGACAAGTAGAAAATATACATCTTGCTGGAGACAAAATTATAAAATGTAATCATTTATAATTTGTTTGAATATTGCTTATTTTAGAAAAAATTAGAAATGTAGAAAAATACGCTATAATTCCACTACCCAGAGTTACTTGCTATTAACTTCTTGGTTGTGTCCTTCCAGTTCTTTTCCTATGCATATATAATATTATTTGTTACATAATTGGATTTTTACTCTGTTGCATAAAATATTATAAATTTGGATGTTTTCTCCCATTTATAATTTTATTTTCTGTCATTGAATCATTATTAATGGCTACATAATATTCCATCATCTGAATATACAGTAATATAACTGTTGATTTTTTTTTTCTTTTTTACTTTTGTAAATAACATTGTAGTAGATACTCTTAGACCTGGGTTTTGCCTGGAGTTTTGCTAAGATTTTTTTTTTTTAGTGGAGATTTTTGTTAGTATACAACTATTTATTTGGCTCTTTTTATGTGCTAAATTAAACACTTCTCTACAGCACACTCTAGGGAATTACAGAAATGAATTTATCAATTCAAGGAATGAACTTCTAAGACCTTTGATAGTGGAAATTCCTTTTTCATAAAGAAAGTCAAATTATGCCCATCAGCAATATATTAAAGTGAGAGTACCTTGCAGACAGTATTTACATTCTTTATCTCTAATGTAAAAAAAAGGGGGGGGGGCAAGATACTCCCCAGAGTGAGTGACTCTTTATAGGAAAGACAGAAGAAATTTAGATTAATGCTAACCGGTTTTTTTTGTTTGTTCCTAGTTTATGTTAGCATATAAAGGATATAGAAGTGAAACAGATAAGAAGAATACGAAGGAAATGAAAATGGTGCCCTGCCTATTGATTATAATTGACAAAAGATAATGGTAGATCTTTGAGTGCTCAAGAACTGAATTGAGGAAAAACTAGAGATGAGGTAACAGGCCTAGTGGGCCTTGGGGCAGATTGGCTCTTAAAATGCATAGGAGAAGGAAGTGATACAAACAATGTAGTTACTAGGACATCTTAGCACTCTTAATACAAAGGCAGTGTATTTTAAAATACAGAATGCAACATTGTGATGAACCTGGCCAAGAAATGTATGGATTTTTTCTTTGTTGCAGTGTTTGAGATTATTCTGGAATATCTGGAAACCAAAGACTGGCAAGAAGCATTTTTTACTATCTTACCCCAACGGAAAGGAGCTGTTCCCACAGACAAAACCTGTGAAAGTTCTTCGCATGACAAGACATCTGTCAGGGTTGAAGATGGATTGGACAGTGATTCTAGTGAGGAAGAAAGTAGCAGAAATGAACTAGAATCACCACATGAAGAAGAAAAGCAAGATAAAGAAAATAGTAATGAATCTACAGTGAACTCTATGCCACACTAATGTCATCTGTTGTTTTTTGTTTTGTTTTTTTGGTGGTTGTTGTTTTTTTTAGTTTAAGGAAAGCCAGAGAAAATGAGGTGCTTCATAGAATATTCTAATTGGGAGAAAATTTTATTTCCTCTTATTTCTGTTGTCAATTTTTAAAACTTTTTTTAGAGCTAATTGATAAAAAGCCCTTTTAAGAAAGTATTTTTTGTTTTTACATAAAATTTAAATGCATAATTTTTTAAATAGTTTTCTAAGTCTCAAGAGTTTCTCAAGAATTTTACTTTATTGGTAAACCTTCATTCTCTCTTAATTACTGGATTATATTTTTAAGAATGTGCCTTCTGACCTTTCAGTTTTATTTTTTTATGTTTATATCAAGTGTCTTTCTGATTTTTGCCTACTTAGTTGTGGAGGTAGATATTCATCAGTCTCCTGTAAGTCTGCTGAAATGTTCTGTCTGGGAGGTTACCTCCTATTTGCAGCTTTTTTATTCAACTTAGTTACTTCAAAAGAATACAGTTATCTTAGGAAGAAGTATTAGATTGATAAACTCAACAATTTATTTCTTTTGGACTATGGAGCCCATCTCTGTTCCTCCTCTGTGATGCCTTTTTGTGGCTCTAAAGCAATCACCGAAGAGTAAAGAATCTCTTTAATGTTCTTTCCTAAGTTCAATAATGGTGGTAACTTATTTCAACTACCAAATGTAATTCTTCAGACTAGATTATTTTAAAAGGCCATTGAGTATCAATTTTGTCTTAAATTTAAAAGGAAACAGCTCTTAGCTGTCCTTTCCTTCTGTATGTACTTCTATTAAATAATATATTTCTTGGTTCTTAAAGTGAACAAAGTTAACTTTATATGTGCATCTGTCTACTAGCATATAATATATAAGCTAATATAACTGTATGTTCCTATAAATAAGCATGTATGAAAAATATATAATTGTATATATATCTGTCCATAATCATGTATGATTCTCAGTTAATAACAGAACTGAGTTGCCAAATATCTGTATAATTGCCTCAATGACTGTGTTGAACAACACTAAGAACTTGAATTTCAGAAAGTGCAAAAATCCATAGCTAAACTTTTATATGAGGACATTGGCAAGGTGGGGCTGAAAGGAAATGTTTTTATTTTCTCCTGGTAAATGTAGAGCAGATATGTTTAAAATAGTGATTATTCTTTATCATAGCTAAAGCAAGATTTCAGAAGCCTTCACTGAGTTTGGATAAATTTTCTGTTCTTTTTACTTATTGGCATCTCAAGTTATGTACACATTTGGTAGAAAGTTCATTAGATTTAGTATTGATAGTCACGGTCTCCTAATTTTTGTTGCTTTATTCCTAGTAATATAGTTATCCGTTTAAAATAAGGTCTGTAAGCAAGGTACAGAAATAAAAGCCCCTACCATTCTAGAAGAGCAAAGCATATGTCGTAAGTTGTATTTCTCAAAGGTTCAGGTTTTCCTAAGTATGGTTTAGTAGCATGAAATCCAGTTAATCCTTGAAAAGTGTGGGGATGAGGGGCAGCAACCCCCTCACACAGTTGAAAATCCATGTATAACTTTGTCTCAAAACTTAATAGCCTACCATTGACCCAAGATCTTACTGATAACACAGTAAGTGTATTAACATGTATTTTTATGTTATATGTATTATCTACTGTGTTCTGAAAATAAACTAGAGAAAATGTTAAGAAAATCATAAGAGAAAATACATTTACAATACTGTACTGTATAGAAAAAAATTCACATATAAGTGGACCCATGCATTTCAAACCTGTGTTGTTCAGGGATCAACTGTATTAGGCCTTTTACTTAAATTATTTAATATGGAATGAGGCACAAGTTAATTTTGAAAGGAGGGGGAAAATCATTACAGGCACTGTGCAGTTTGTCACTAATTATGAAAGCCCTGTATTATTTCCTAGCGCTGCCATAACAAATTACCACCCGGTGGCTTAAAACAACAGAAATTTTTTTCCCTACAGTTCTGGAGGCTAAAACTTAGAATCAAGATGGATCATGTACCCTCTGAAGGCTAAAGGGAAAAAAGTCCTTCCTAGCCTCTTCTTGGTTTTTGGTGGTCCCAGCAGTCCTTGCTGTTCCTTGGCTTACAGCTGCATCACTCCAGTGTCTGCTTTGTCATCAAATGGCTTCTGCCCCCAGTCTTCCTTGCCTGTGTCTGTGTCCCTCTTATAAGCATAGCAATCACTGGATCAGTGTCCAACATAATCCAGTATGACCTCATCTTAACCTGATTACATTTGCAAAGATCCTATTTCCAAATAAGGTCACATTTAAAAGGTACAAGATACTAGGACCTGAACATATATTTGAGTAGGCACAATTCTATCCATACAAGTTTATATCTTGGGCTATTGATGACAAGGAGACACAACCTTCACCTCAGGATAAGATTACAATGAGAAATAAGTAATTGCTGAGGTATTTAAAAATCTTTTTTAAATAATGATAATCTTTCATTTTAATGTATTACTTTTACATTGTTTTGGCTTATTGAGGTGCCTTATTTAAGACTTCATTTGCAGTGAAGTCTCCTGTATTGGGACATAATAAAGGTAAGGAATTCAGTTAGTATTTAAATAAATGCATCCACAGGAAATATGTCTCCTGAAATAATAAAATTTTCTCTCACTTCATTTCTTCAAAAACCTGCAGTGTTAATAAATCAAGCTTGTTCATTAAGGAAGGAGCGTTCTTTGGATTGATCCCCCAGAAATCAGTGTGTTGCCATCTGGAAGGATTTGAAAATACTTGAAATTGGGAAAGAAAACAAAAAAGGCAAGCAATTCTGAAAGAATGTTAAGGTGAATGAACAATCACAAAACCTATCAATTATTGCCAATTAAAAAGTAAAGTGATAGACCATTTTATAGATGGAGAGAGTCACAGATGATACAGGTAAAAGGCAAGAATTGTCCATAGATCACTGAGAATACATACAGCCAACAGTTGTAAGAAGAAAATTTTAAAAAGGGGAAAAAATGGCAGAGATTAGAATTAGACAGCAGTGGGGTATGGTGCTCATTAAACTTTGACCTCAATTGGCAGAGAGATGCTTATGTGTGTTTCTAGCTCCTAGTCAAGCACATAGAATAGGCGCTTCATAAATGTGAAGGAGAGCAGCAGTGTCACAATGAAAAGACAACAGAGTTAGTGGGAAGAATAGGCTTAAATTTTGGCACAGCCACCTTTTGGTTATGACTCTGGGGGAACTTAATGAACTTCTGTTAGTCTTTGTGTCCTCACTTGTGAAATAGGAATGTTACCCATTTATCCTTTCTCTTAGGGTTGAGCAATCAATTGATTTGAAACTGAGCAGCAGCTAACTTCATAATACTTTCTCATTAACATTCCTTCATATCTTGCCTTGTTTCCCTTGTTTCACATTGACATTATATGCACCCCCCCAAAATGAATAAACCATATATAAGCCTTTGTTTCAGACTCTGCTTTCTGAGGAACCCAGATGTAGAGAAGATTTTAAAATGTGAACTTCTAAATTACCAGAATGAGCACTCGTGAAACAAAATATGGATATCATGGATCATTTAGTGAATTATTTTAAAAGACACTGAAAACAGAATGCTAATATAAAACACAATAACCTCACAAAACCAAATCTCTCCTATGAGCAAGTATAAATGTTGAAAATCACCAGTGTTGAATTAAAAAGAATAAAGAAGGGCAGATTGGGCTAATGAAAGAAAAAGAAGTCACAAGTTTAACATTAAGTAAAGATCAACACATTATAATTAAAAAAGGAACAGAAGGGCAGGTTGTAATGTTCAAGAATGCAATCCTTAAGGGCGCCTGGATGGCTCAGTTGGTTAAGTGTCTGCCTTTCACTCAGGTCATGACCTCAGGGTCCTGCTCAGTGGAGAGCCTACTTCTCCCTCTCCCTCTATCCACTTTCACTGTGCATGCACGGGTGCATGCTCTCTCTCAAATAAAATCTTTAAAATCTTTAAAAAAAAAATAAAAAGAATGAAATCCTTAGTTAAGATTTGACAGTTGTGAATATCTATGCACAAAGCTTAGTATTCAAATTCACTGAGGAAAAACTGGGATTACATGAAATGCTAAGAAATTCATTAGTAGAAGGAGACTTTAAGGCATACTTCACAACCTATGAGGCTGAAATGGACAAAAGATAAATATATGGGAGATGTAAATGCTATAATTAATAATTGATATATATCAAGTTCTCTAAGCTGAAAGTAGTTTCCAGCATCCATGTAATGTTCATCAAAGTATCTATATATTAGGCCACAAAAGAAAATAAGTTCCAAACATAAGAAATAGGCAGCTTCTCTGATAATATATTAAAGTAGGAAATAAACTTGTGAATGGGAGGAATGCCTTACTACCTAGAACGTTTTTTAGTAAAAAATTTTGTAAAAATTAGTGTTAGAGATAAAGTTGGTCATGACTTCATTATAAAATTCTAGACCATGTTTGAACATCATGTCAAAATGTATGAATCAAAATGGACAAAATTACAAAGACCACAGAAATACAGAAATTTTTATTACACATCTTTCTGATTGATAAATACAAAGAAAAGTTAGATAGTATATATAAAATTTGAACAGTACAAATAACACATTTGTTCTAATGGATAGATCTGCAACTTTGCATCCAAAAATTTTTAATTTCTCATTCAAGTCATATGACTTTTTATAAAATTGACCATATGCTAAACCTCAAAACTACCCTCAAGAAAATAAAAGGATTGGTCATTTCTACAGATCACATTATCTGACCACAATGCAATTAAATCATTTAAAAATATAACAAGATTGAAAAACAGTCTATATTTGGGAATTTAAAAAAAATTTCTAAACAACTTGGTCACAGAAAAAAGTAAAAATTAGAACATATTTAAAAGTAAATTTAATGAAACCGTGAATTGAAACTTGTGGAATGTAGCTAAAGCAACATTTAAAGGAAAATGTATAGTCTAAATTACTTAAGTTAGAGAAAGAAAGACTATCTTTATTGAGTTATGCATTTAACAAGTTAAAAGAAGGACTGCAGAATAAATTCACACTTGAAAAGGAAAATAATAAAGATGGCAATAATAATTAAACATCATAAAGAGGCTCAAGGAAAAAATTGACTCTTTGAAAAGACTAATAGACTAACATCTGGCAAATTTAAAAAAAAAATTTTAAGAGGGAGGGAGAGAGAGAAGACATAAATATGGAAATTAATAATGGAGATATTAGAAACAAATATTATAAAATACTTCATGTTAATACATTTGAAAGTTTATATGAAATAATTAAGTTATAAATCAAAATTACCAAAATAACCTTAAAAAATTAAAACTCCAAGAATTTTTTAACTCAAAAGTAAACTGGTGTAGTGTTTTAAAATCTAGACCCATATGTTTTATGGGCATATCTGTGAGACATACCAAATGTAAGTCAGCTTACACAGACTCTTTGTAGATAATTAAAAATGAGGGTACACTCATCTTAGGATGTTATTAACTGTGCTATTGAAGTCTTTATATTTTCCCATGTATATATAATTTTAATTATGATAAAACACAATATTAAATTTACCATCTTAACCATTTTTAAGTGTACAGTTTAGTAGTGTTAAGTATATTCACATTGTTGTGCAACAGATCTATAACTTACTCATCATGAAGGACTGAATTCTATGTCCACTAAACACCCAATCCCACCTCCCCTATCCCACCTGCCCTTGGTAACCGCCTTTCTATTTTGCTTGAAATTTTGACTACTTCAGATACTTCAAATGGTGGAATCATACAGTATTTTGTCCTTTCGTGACTAAAGTCCTTTTGAGTAGAATAATGTCCTCAAGGTTCATCTATGTTGTAGCATGTGACAGGATCTCCTTTTTAAAGCTGCATAATATTCCACTGTATGTAAGTACCATACTTTTTTTATCCATTCATCTGCTTCCACTCTTGGCTATTCTTAATAATGCTATGAATGCGGTATGAAAATATCTTTTTAAGATCCTGCTTTCAATTCTTTTCCATATGTAGACTGAAGTGGTATTGCTGGATCATATGGTAATTCTATTTTAGTTTTTTGAGTAGTCTCTAGTGCTTTCCATAATGGCTGTACTATTTTACATTCCCACCAACAATGCATAATGATCCAACTTATCCACATCCTTCCCATATTTATTTTCTGTTCTCTTGATAGTGGCTCTGATGGCTGTGAGGTGGTATCTCATTACAGATTTGATTACATTTCCCTAATGATTAATGATGTTGAGCATCTTTTCATGTGCTTCATGGCAACTGGCATATCTTCTTTAGAGAAATGTTTATTCAAGTCCCTTGCCCATTTCAAATAGCAATGTCTTCTGTCATTGAGTTCTAGAAGTTCCTTATATATTTTAGGTATTAACCCCTTACCAAATATATGATTTGCAAATATTTTTCCCCATTGCATAGTTTGTCTTTTCATTATATTTTTCTTTTGACAAAAAGTTTTAGAGTTTAATGGAGTCACATTTGTCTGTTTTTTTATTTTGTTGCTTGTGTTTTTGGCGTTATATCCAAGAAATCATTGCCCAATCCAATGTTCTTAAGGTTTTTTGCTCTGTTTTCTTCTAAGAGTCTTAAGTTTCAGGACTTACATTTATGTCTTTAATCAAATTTGCGTTAATTATGTATATGGTATAAGGTAACTTC